GCGGGTCGACGGGGAAGGGGCCGTCTTGGAGGCGTTTTAGGCTGTCTTGGGGTCCTCTTGCGCTGTTCGGGGGCCCTCTTGGAGGCCTCTTGGGCCGTCTTGGGGCGCTTCCGGGGCTCTGGGACCGCGCGGGGACCGCGCCAGGGTTTTGGAATCGCGCGGGGAGAAAGCGCATCTGGGTGGCGACCCCCCCCCCCGGGACCCCCCCCGGGACCTCTCCCCCAGCGCGGGGAAGGGGCCAAAGGGAAGGGGCTTCCCTTCGACTCGATTACGACATTGCTGGCTTTTTCTCTCGCCGACTAGCTTGAGGAGGAGGGTGCAGGGCAAGGGGACGACGGAGACGACGACTGACGGAGACGACGACTCGAACAGATAAGCCCCCCCCCACACACACACGCCGACAGGGTCGGCAGATTTCGTGGACAGTTGTCGTTTTGATTTTGCTTCGCAGCAGAGATGCAGAACTCTAAGCTTGCTAGATGGGGTCGGAGTAGATGGGGTTGGATGATCGCGCCGCATCTCCGATGCACCGCCTACTCGGCTCGCTGCGGAGCCAGATTCTCCCCACGCCGACGGCGCCGATGCGTCGCCGACGCCGCTGATGCATCGCCGATGCATTGGCCAATGCAGTGGCGATGCGGCGCGGTCCTCCGACCCCATCAACTCGGACCCATCTGGGAGGCCTCGAAGAACGAAGACAGACAGAAGGACAACGGAAGTGTTGAAGTTCACTGCTGCCACTTTCGCCGACCTCCCTTCCCGGCGCCGCTTTCTGCCACAAGCCCTCCGACGCTAGAGCGGAGGGAGGGCTTAGCCTCTTTTGACTTGTAGGGGGCCAGATGTGAACCCTACCCCTACCTCCCACGATTTCTGAGGGGGAGGGTGGGGTTCACTTCGTTCGGGAGCTCCCGAGCAAAGTGTACCCTACCCTCCCCCTCAGAAATCGTGGGGCGTAGGGGTAGGGTTCGCATCTGGCCCCCTAACCTGCCTGCAGCAAGGCAGAACCGCTTGTGGTGAAAAAACCCATCACATCGACAGGGAACAAAAGCGAAAACGAGAGGCACTGGTCAGCTCGTGCCCCGAAGGCAGCCGGGGTCCAGGGGGGAAACTTCAGGGGCAACGCGAGGGCGGGGTGGGCTCGGGCGCGGACGCCTCGGCCCCCAGTCGCCCGTGTGATCCCCTCCTCCTCCTCCTCCTCCTCCTCCTCCTCTTCTTTCTCCCCCTCCTCCTCCTGCCTCCTCCTTCTCCGCCTCCTCCTCCTCCTCCTCCTCCTCCTCCTCCTCCTCCATCTCCTCCTCCTCCTCCTCCTCCTCCTGCCTCTGCTCCTTCTCTCCTCCGCCTCCTCCTCCTCCTCTCCCCTCCTCCTCCTCCTCCTCCTCCTCCTTCTCCTTCCTCCTCCTCCTCCTCCTCGTTTTCCTCCTCCTCCTCCTCCCCCTCCTCCCCCTCCCCCTCCCCCTCCTCCTCCTCCTCCTCCTCCTCCTCCTCCTCCTCCTCCTCCTCCTCCTCCTCCTCCTCCTCCTCCCTCCTCCTCCTCCTCCTCCTCCTCCTCCTCCTCCTCCCCCTCCCCCTCCTCCTCCTCCTCGTTCTCCTCCTCCTCAACCCACTTCGCCCAGGATCCTGCGGATTCGCTGTCGGAGCCCATCGCCGTCGGCGATGCATCGCCGACATCGCCAGTTCCAGGTCGATGTTACCCCCCCAGGAGCTGTTCCCCCCGAGCGTTGCCCTCAGAAGTGAAGCCAGGAGTGTGTCGTGGTTTTTGGCCTCGGGGGGCTGTTCCCAGGCCCTGGGGCCGTGAAGGGAGCCACTCGGGGCGAAGAGCTGGTCCTGCCGGAAAGCCCCAGGTTCCGGGGCCCGTTTTCCTCGGGGCCCGCTCCCTTCATGCCAGCGCAGTCGCCGCCACAAGGGATTGGGCGAGGCGGCTTAGATCCGGGCGGGCTTGGCGACGTCCCTTTAAGTTCCTGTGTCGGCGGAGCAGACGCAGCACGCGCACTAGCATTAGCGCCACCGTCACCAGCACTGCAACGCACGGGCTGCGTCCGAACTTGTGCCCTGAGCGTGGGGGCATTTCCATTTGTGCCCACGCGCCAATCCGCCACCGTGCTCAGGCGGGAGCAGGGAAAGCGCTGGGGAAACGTACGACTCGAGTTTGCCAGAACTTCGGTCTGCTACAGTTTGTTTGAGTCATTTTCAGCATGAACTCAGACAGCTCAGTTTTTGTGGGATCTGTGCAGCGGGAGTTCGCGACACTTTTCACACCAGGTCCCGCCATATTTCTGTCGGCCCCATCTGAGGGATTTGAGTCCCATTCGGATCCCGCCATTTCTCTTCGGCCCCATCCTGGAGTGGGGGGAAGGAGCTGGGGGGAGGCGCGGGGGCGCCCGTGGGGCACGTGCCTCATAAGTTCCTGCGCGAACCTGTGATGTCAGGAAGAATGTCAGGCAGATGTCGCAGAGACCCGCCCAAACAGATGAACGCACGTTGGGCTCAATGCGCCGGGGGCCTTGAAGAAGTTGTTTCATAATATGTGAGACTTTCAACCTCACACTGCTGCACACATACACATATATACACACCCACACACACACACACGCACGCACACTCGCACATGAATGGGGCCCTGCAGCCAAGCGCGCAGCGACGCGGCGGAGTCAGTCAGCTAGAAGCCCGGAGAGCGCCGCGGCATCAGAATCAGCGCCGCGGCACGAACACATTCATAGTTTGTCCTCCGACGCGCCGTTTCTCCTGTCGACGGGAATGGCTGGACACACCAAGTGACCACGACTTGGTGGGAGCGTGGACCGACACACACAGACACCAATCAATGCAATTGTGGTGGCGGACATCTTGGAGAAGCCAAGCAACGGAAAATTGTATGCAGGATGCGAAGCAAACGTGGCCCGATCCCAAATAGCCTCTCGACGATCCGATGGTTGGCAATTACGCCAGTACCCATGCTGAGTGCGTACTCATGCATTGCTCAAGCTGCATCCATAATTCAATATCTCTCTCTTTCTCTGCCTCTCCCCCCTCCTTCCTCTCTTCCCCTCTCTCTCTCTATCTCTGTCTCTCTCTCCCTCTCTATCCCTCTCTCCCATCTGCCTCTTTTCCATGTCTTGAGAAATGTCGAAGGCGCCTACCGCGAATCACCGCCGCCCCCTGCCTTTCAGGATACGCCCACGTGGTCAAACGTTTGGGCAACAATTGATCACGCCATCGGACCATGCGTTCCCCCAGCTGTTGTGGAAGCCTTTCGGGGAACACGTGGGGGAGGAAGAGGAGGATGAGGAGAGGGGGGAAAACAGAGGATGTGGAGAAAGATGAGGAGACCTCTTGGTACTTTCTTGGGTCACTATTGGGGCCTCCAGAGCTTCCTGGGGGCCTCTTGGGGGCCTCCTTGGGCCTCTTGGGGCCCCTCGGGGCTTCTTGGGGGCTTCTTTGGCCGTCTTACAGCGTTCCTGGCCCGTCGGCAGCCGTCTTGGGAGCCCATGTGGGCCCTTTGTGGGTCGTCTTGAAGGCCATCTTGGGCGTCTCGGAGGCCTCTTGGGCCGTCTTGGGGCCCTTTGGGGGCCGTCTTGGCAGTCACGGGGCCTTCTGGAGGTCTATTGGGAAATCTTTGAGGCTTCTTGGGCCGCATTAGGTCATCGGAAGGCAGTTTTGAAGCAAGTGCCACAACCCGTTAAACAAACATTGGGACAATTTCTGATTTTGTCTTCTTTGGGTCTGTTGGAGGTCCCTTGGGACGTCTTAGGGGCCTCTTGGGCGCTACTTGACCCGTCTAGGGCTATCTTGGACCATCTAGGCGGTCTTGTGTTATTTCAGCGATCTTGGTTTCTCTTGGGGCCATATTGGCCGTCTTGGAGATATCTTGGCAGTCATCTTGGCCGCCTTGGAGACCATCGAGATTTGTGGGGAATCTACGCGGCCGTTCGGGTGGCTGGCGGGCTGGGCCGCGACCCCACGCAGAGTCCTTCCGAAAAGAACCGAGCACCTGCCAGGCGCTCGGCACGCCGTGCACCCTCGTGGCAAGACCACGGGGGGCACAGTGGCCCTCGGTGCACCCCGCCACCGTGCCTGGGCTGCAGGTCAGAGGCCTCCCGGATGCCTGCGAGGATCTCTCGGGAGGCGTCTCGGACGCCTCCTGGAGGCGGCTTTGGAGGGGGCGCAGTGGAGCGTCTTCGAGGCCCCTCGGGGCCTGATTTGGGCCTCTTGAGGCCTCTTGGGAGTGTCTCGTGGGCTTGCGAGGCGATCCCGGGGCCGTCTTCGGGCGGAGGGCTCAACATGCGAGTCCGTGCTCCCCACCGTCGGCCCCTTGTGGGGCCGTCTTGGGTACCTCTTGGGCTGTTCTGGGGGCGATCTCCGGCGCCTCCTGGGCCGTCTTGGACGCTCTGCAGACCGAAGCGGTGGCGATGCGAAAACCACGCAAAAACCAAAAGCTTTGGCGATTTGGGCCTCTTGGACCGACGGCCCCAGGGCGGCCGAGGCGGCCCGAAGAGGCGGCCATGGGAGGGCTCAGGAGGGGCGGCCCCCGTGGCCATCCGAAGCCATGTTGGACGTGCACGTCTTGTGGAGGACGATCCATGGAGAGGAAGCATGTTGCCAAATAATTGCCAGATGCATAGAACATGTTTGGAACATGTTCTAAACCTGTAACACACATGTTTTGAACATGTTAGAACATGTTTGAAACCTTTTGAACTATAGTTTAATTTAATGATAGGATGGTCAGGGTGTCCATGGTCATCACATCTACAATGCATGTCCCGAACAACGCGTCCTCGGCCTCGCGAAACGTCACGCGGGGACCACCCAAGAGCGCGCGGCCGCGCCCAAGAGCGCCCCAGAGCGCCGGGGAACGACCAGAACTCGGGGCTTTGCGCCCCTTGAAGAACATCTCTGCAGAACTCCCTCTGGAGAGCTCGAGGGCACTTGAGGACACTCCAACTCGTGCCGCAGGGCACGGTGGCGGACTTGCAAGGGGCTGATGTAAATGCTCGTGGGTGATGCTGAGTCAGCCCCTCGCGGCCGGTCTCCAAGGACGACAAACAGAGCGTGACAACCGTTCTCTCTCAACCGCCATTAGCGCGTGTGGGAACACGAAGCGGTGGACCGCGGCGCTGAATTTGCTTCGAGGTACTTGGCAGCAGCGCTTGCAAGTCGGGACCATCTTGTACAACGTGACCATATCCGCATGCGGCAAGAGCAGGCAGTGGCGGCACGCGCTCTGGCTGCTCAGCAGCATGATGGTTCTGATCCTGGAGCCAGACACCATCAGCTACACTGCAGGGGTCAGCGCTTGCGAGAGAGGCGGGCAATGGGAACGGTCGCTGTCGTTGCTCCGCGAATTTCGTGGGGCCAGGCTCGAGGCAAATCGAATTTCGTACAACGCTGGTATCAGCTCGTGTGAGAAAGGTGGACAGTGGCGTCATGCTCTTTCACTGTTGTATGAATTATCGAGAGATTGGCTGGAGCCAGACGTCATCTCTACTACATTGCAGGGCCCAGTGCGTGCCAGAAGGGCGCAGGCCCCAATGCACCAAAACCGCCCCGGGCTGGCCCCGGGCCGCCCCGGGCCGCCCAGGCAGGCTCCAGGACATGTCGAGAGGGCCCCCAGAAGCCCCCAAGACGGCCCCGGAGAGCCCCGGCACGCTTAAAGACGGGCCCAAGACGCCCGAGAGTCGCCCCAGACGGCCCAAGAGGCGTCCAAGACGCCCGAAGAGGCCTCCCAAGAGGCCTCCGAAGAGGGCCCCGAGTGACAGAAATCGTTGATTTCTATTGTGTTTTTCGATGTTTTCGGCCTCCTCGCCTCTTCGGCTTCCCAACGCTCCAAGACGGCCCAAGAAGTCCCCCCGACCGCTCCGAGGCGGCCGAAGATGACCCCAAGAGAGCCCCAAGACGGGCCAGGAGGGCCCCAAGACGGTCCCAAGGCGCCCCAGGACGGCCCCAGGACGGCCCCAGGACGGCCCAGGAGGCGCCCCAGACGGCCCAAGAGGCACCCAAGACGGCCCCAGGAGCGGCCCAAGACGGCCCAAGACAGTCCAAGAGGCGCCGAGGCGGGCCTCAGACGGCCCCAAGACGGCCCAAGAGGCACCCAAGACGGCCCGAGAGGGCCCTAAGACCCCCCCGGGAGGCCCAAAAGAAGGCCGAAGAGGCTCCGAAACGGCCCCCACGAAGCCTTCAGTGGCTTCAGAATTCCCTCCAGGAGCGGGGGAGCGGACGAGAGGCGACAGGCATATCGCAGGCAAAAACGCCCAAAGAGATCCCCAAACGGCCCCCACGAAGCACTACGTGGCCTCAGAATTGCTTCCAGGAGGGGGGGAGCGGACGAGAGGCGACCGGCATATCGAAGGCACAAAAGAACAATGTTGGACGCTCCGAGGGCCTTCGATGTTTCTCTCTTGGGGAGAGTCGTCGTAGGATCGACGATTGCCGACCGAGGGCTTGGAGAATCCAGCGAAAGAGGAGAAGAAGGTGGATGAGGAGGAGGAGGAGGAGAAGGAGGAGGAGGAGGAGGAGGAGGCGGAGGAGGAGGAGGAGGAGGGGGAGGAAGCAGCAGGACCTCCGAGCAGCAGCAGAAGCTGAGGAACACAGGAGAGCAGGAGGTCTTGGAGGGTGTGGAGAGCGCCTTCAACTCGCCACGTCGAGCTGATGTCGTGGACGGAGTCCACAGGTCTGCCCTAGTCAGCTACAGCGCCGGGATCAGCGCGTGCCAGAAAGGCTCGCAGTGGCAGCAGGCCCTGTCTCTGCTAAGCGAGATGTCGGAGGCGATGGTGGAGCCCGACATCTTCAGCTACTCCTCTGGGATCAGCGCGTGCGGGAATGGCGGGGAGTGGCAGCAGGCACTTTCGCTGCTTAGCGAATTGCGGGATGCGAAGTTGAAGCCAGACGGTGTCACCTACAACGCTGGGGTCAGCGCGTGCGAAAAAGGAATGCAGTGGCAGCTGGCTCTGGCGCTGCTCAGAGAGATATGGGAAGTGACACTGAAACCAACCGTCATCAGTTACCAGGCTGGCATGAGCGCCTGCGAGAAAAACGGGCTGTGGCAGCAATCGCTGTCGTTGTTCAGCGAGATGTCGGAGGCGAAGTTAGAGCACACTGCCATCAGCTACAACGTCGGGATCAGCGCGTGCGGGAAGGGCAAGCAGTGGGAGCGGGCCCTGTTGCTGCTCAACGGCATGTTTGAGGCGAAGTTGGAGGCGAATGTCGTCAGCTACAGCGCCGGGATGAGCGCGTGCGAGAAAGGCGAACAATGGCATCGGGTTCTGTCGCTGCTCCGCGAGATGTGGGAGGCGAAGATGAAGCCCAATGCCTTCAGCTACAGCGCTGGAATTAGCGCGTGTGAGAAAGGCGAGCAGTGGCAGTGTGCCCTGTCGCTGCTCAGCGAGATGTCGGAGGTGAAGTTGGAGCCCGACGTCGTCATATACACCGACGGTATCAAGGCGTGCGACGTACCTTTTACAAAACCGTATGTTGTCAAGCGTGGACCCAAATCAGTGAGGTGGTGCACCGTGGTTGCTCCGGCTGTGTAGCGCTGTCTGTGAGGTGGGATATGAGTTGTGTGAGACGTGTGGAGTAAATTGTATGGCCCAATCCATGTGGTGCAAGATATGTGGCATAAGCTTTTTTTTGTTGGCAAAGGCTTGGTAACACAAAAATGCAGCACATAAGCGATGTGCTGCAATTTTCTGTGTGCTTCCCACTGACCACACAGAGGGGCTCGGTGCGCCCGCCCTCACGGTACGTCGGCTCCCTCGGGAGCCCACAGCCTCAGCCATCTTCCGCCACTCCTTTGAGTGCCAGGCAACAGCGCGCAGCGATGATAGTATAATCACGGCAATCATACAAGAGCCAACAAGTAACTGAGATCTGACAGCACACATTGCTGCAGACAGAATGCTCGCCATCAAGAACATACTCATACGCTTCAAGATGCACTGCAAACCTCTGCTCAGATCACTCAGGCTCTGTCCACAGGCCAAGTGGAATCTCCATCCCCACTGCGATGCCCTCAGCAGCCTGCACGAAACCCCCGAGGCAGACGAGGCGCTGCTCGAGCTGCTCTCCCCTTCTGGCACTGGGCCCCCACCAGGCCCTGTAGCGTCGCTCCCAGGAGCCGGTGGTGCATGGGCCCAGTGTGCACCCCGCTGCACCTGGCAGCCAGGCGAGCCCACTGCTCGCCGCACGGGCGGCTCCTCTCCCCAGGTCGGCCCCCTCGGCTCATCGGGCGGGCCCTCCGCGTCGGGCGGCACGAGAACAAGGGCCCTGGCGCACCGCGCAGCGCCCCTCCCGCACGGCCGTGCCTCGTGCGGCCATCGGCGGCAGCTCCATGAGGGCGTCGCCCGCGAGCCTCCGCTCGGCCATCGCGTCCGCCGCCCGCTGGTACGCGGCCTGGTTCTGCGACACTTGGAGGGGCACGTGCTCGCCGTCCAGCCTGCTGGCCAACGCCGGCCACGCTGGCACGGCTGGCAGCAGCACCATGCCGCCGTCGACCTGGTCGTCCAAGTCATCGGCCCAGCGCCTGCGCTGCTCGCGCTTGCCCTTATCTGCGGATCGTACCTCGGCCACGATGCTCGCCTCGCTGGCCGCCGCCACGCCATCGCTGCCTTGCGAGGACGGTGTCTCGGTCGCAGCGGCATCAGGGTCTGCTCTTGCACTGTCATAGGCCTCGGGCTCCCCTGGCACGAACCCGCTCACCGACTCTGCCGCCGCCTGGGCGCCGTCGGCCTCCTCGTCAGTCTCGCCGTCGACTACGGACACCTGCTTTACCAGGTCGTTCACCCTGCCAACGTCGCCGTCCACATGCCGGCCCACCGCCGCGCCTCCCATGGGCCATGCCGCAACAGCTCCCGCGGCAGGGCCCTGGTCCGTGCGCCAGGCGCCGTCCACCAAGCGCCACCACGTCGGCGGCCCGCCATGCGGGAGCGATTCTGGGTCGCCGCTCTCTGGGCTCAGAATCCTGGCCCCGCCGCCCGCGTCGGCCCTGGCGGCCCCGGCGGCGTCCCCGGCGGCCCCGCCGCCCGCGGCGGCCCTTTCGGCCCCGGCGGCGTCCCCAGCGGCCTCGGTCGGCCTTGATGCCGTCGGCCTCGGCCTCGGTTTGCGCCCGCCGAGGTCCACGGGAGCACGTGACCTGCCCTGCCAAGCCAACGCCCGCAGCTCCACGCACTCCTCGGCCAGCTCGGACGCCAGGTCGAGCAAGCACCTCGTCGCGCTCCTGCTGGAGGCTGCGCACCTCCGCCAGGGCCTGGTCACATACGTCCCTGCGCTCCCAGTCGGAGTCCACCGACCCGATCTCCGAGCCAATGTCGTACTCGTCCTGGGCCCCTTCGCCGCCCTCGGGCGGCTCGCACAGCGTCTCGTTCCCCTTCCCCACAGCAGCCGCCGCATGGCCGCCCACCGACGACGCATCCCCCGCCTGGGGAGCCTCAGGCACCTGCTGGGCGGCGCGCCCGGCGTAAACCGCCCAGCGGAGTGCTGCCTCCACCGCCGCACCGCTGACAGCAGCTGCAACCACTGCAACCTGCGGCGTGGCGCCTGCCACCACCGCCGCGCGCACCGCCGCCTCCACGAGGTGCCCGACCTGCTCGCCGCCTGGCCCCAGCCAGGCCGCAACCAGGCCACCAGCAAGGCGGCCCATCGCGCGCCGCGCCCCGCCCACCGCCGCCCCACGCCCCGAAGGAGACCCCGCGCGGGCGGCGCTACTGAGCCACGATGGCCACGGCGAGCTCCCACCCCCCCGAGAGGGTCTGGGAACTTGAGCCAAAATGGCTCCGGGCGATGTGCTGCAATCTATGTGCTGATACCCATGTGGTGCGATCCGCGTGGTGCAAGCTATGCAACGCAGCCTGAGTTCTGCAACGCATGCAGTGGAATAGATGTGGTGTGAGCCACGTGGCGCTGATGATGATCTGTGGGCGATGCGCCCCAGGCGACGCGGTGCAGCCTTTGTGGTGTGAGCTGCTGCGTGCAATCTGCGCGGTGCAGTGAATGTGGTGTCAGCCACGCGCAGAGGGGGGTGGGGGGAGGGGGGAGGGCTTCTTAGAAGCACCCTGCTTCTTAGAAGGCGCGGGCCTTATCCATAGATGCAAGGCCGGCGCCCTCTAAGAGCAGCAGCCTGCTTCTTAGAAGCCCTCCCCCCTCCCCCCCACCCCCCCTCTGTGCGCGCCGCCAACGGCTTGGCATCGCTCGGACGTGTGCTTTTTTCCGTCGGCGAGGACCATCGAGGAGCATCCTTGATCAGTTGGCGAAACACCCACGCACGAAACCGAAAAAAAGCGGAGGGAATGGGCGTCCGAGCGACGGCGAGGTGGTGTGAGCTGTGCAGTGTGCACGCACGGGTCGCCCGCGAGGTGCCCACGGGCGGCAGCGCGGCCGCCATCCTCGGCGGGCCCGCCCGGGGGCACGGGGCGCCCACGAGGCACCCGCGCGCGGCCACGCGGCAGAGCCTCGGCGGCCCCGCCCAGCGCACGCGGCGCCCACGAGGCGCCCACGCGCGGGAGCGCTGCGGAACCTCGGCGGAGCCGTCGAGCTCCTGGAGTTGTGATGTTCCAGTCTGCTTGAGCCTCGATCACCAGGAGCAGATCGAGCGCCAAGAAAGCACCGAAACCTACAGACATGTACGTGTCGGGGCCCGGAAGGCGATACTCGTTCGACAGTGTTTCGATATTTTTCTGGGGGCTCGATATTATTTCTGGGACGTGGTCCTTCAGTGAGTAAGAGCCCGTATGTGCAAGCCTTGTTCGGGGAATCGAAGCCCGCGCCACGGCTTTTCACAATGCAGCAGCGCGCGCGCGCGCCAAACGTGCCTGTGAGCGGCTCCAGACGGGGCGCCCCGAGACGGACTTCGCCTCGGGGCCCAAGTTTAATATGGTTCGACATCGATTCTGGCCGGTTCGATCTGATTCGATCCCCATATTCCGACGAGTCGATGCGCCCCGATGCTTGCATGGCGTTGGTTTGCATCTTGGCGCAGCCGATCCGATCCGATCTCGTCTCCGTGCCGAGGCAGCTTGGTCCGACGCACAGTCCGATTCGATCCGATTTCCCGATTCGATGCTCATTGTTCTTGCGCCTCGAGGGATTCAGAAGTTGCCCTCCCTGCCTCGGCGAAAGCTCGCCAAGGCGGCGGAGGTAAGACGAGGGCGGTTACGCCGGCGGAAGCTGGTGGACGCAAAGATCTGCCTTCCAGGAGATGGCACTTCCTTTGGATTCAGGGCTTCTGGAACGAGCCAGGTATCCCCGCCGGTGCCACGACGGCCCCATGGTACCCCAAGCTGCCCGAAGATGGCGCCAAGGTGGCTCCAAGATGGCTCTCGGTGGGGCCCCCAAGAGGCTGACATTGGCGAACAGACCATGTGGCTTCACATGTTCTCAGAGCTTTCCGTTTTGTGTTCGCTGGTGATCCTCAGAAGCCCCAAAGGCCCCCCCCGACCGTCCCCAGGCCCTTCCAAGGAGCACCCAGGGGCCCAGGGAGCGCCCAGATGGCCCCCCCATGGAGCCCAACAAGCCCGAAATGCTGGCCCGCAAGGCCCCTGGGGAGCCTATGAGCGACTCGAGAGGAGACCAATGCTCCGGCCACTCGCGGGTCGAAGCCACTGGCAGATTGAGTTGTTGGCCCCTCTTCGCTCATCGCCCACCGCAGCTCGCTCCTCGCCCCCTGTGCCCGCTCCCTGCCCATCTCATCTCGCTCCCCCCCTCGCTCCTGGCTGCAGGCTCCTCGCTCCTCCCTGGTGGTTGCTCGCACCTCTCGCCAC